TGAAGCATTAAAGCTTGTACCTGATCACATTGATCGTCGTGTCGAGTCCAGTTCATCCTCCGCGACAGGGAATAACATTTTCTTCTGCTCTAAGAAAGATTGCTTAACTATCTCCAGTTAACTCTTGCTCTGAAAAATGGACTTTGTTAGGCTTCTAAGTTTGCTCAGCACGAGCACTCTTCTAAATATTTTGTGTTTTCTTTTTCTCACGACCATCAGGATGACTACATTTCCCATTTTAGCAATTTTCTCACGCAGGTGGTACTAAGCAAGATGAAAGCTGTGTAACTAAGTTCACATGACTGTGTCATGCCTTTGATTTGCTGAGCCCTTCACCTCATGGAAACGAGTACAACATGTGCAACCCTTTACTGCTCACACAACTCATCTGCATCAATATATTTTGGCTTTCAGTGACCCTCTGGGTTCTAAAAGTACCATAGAGTAAGCGTCACACATTTTTATTATAAGTGGAACCAATCATTTAATAAGCAATGCTTGGTCTCATGCAAAGTGCGCTGCAGTCAAAGGAAATATTTTCTTTGGCTTCATATGGCCTCGAATCAGGCGGCATGCATGGTATTAAAAATTAAGAGCTTAAAATTAAAAAGAAGCCACATTAATAGCTAGTTTCTTCTTCAGAAAGGACTGCTGGGCTAAAAAAGGGAGGAGATTAAAAAAAGAGCTTTGGTTTTTCTCTGCTGTACTAAAAATGGCATATTGTGTTTGGTCATGGAATAAATAGTACTCAAATGTGAAAAGAATTGAACCAGAGTTTGAGTGGAATCCATATAAATTTTAAGACATGGTTTCTTCGGGGGCAAAAGGCAAACCAGTTGTTTACTCTGAAAACTTCATAGGAAAATTTAAATAGACTCAAGTGATCTACGAAACTTCAGGAGAGTTCAGACTCCTGCGGTAACAAGATGAGAAGTAAATTGTTTTATTATTTCTTATTGGAAATCACAACAGCCAAAAAGATCATTAACAGCTCAGGACCAGAGAGCACAGAGGGTTTAAAAATAGAAATGTGTCTGTGCCCTGACTTGAGACTTATTCACCCGTAAGCTATTTAAGACTGGAAAAATATTTGCAAGACAGTATCTTAGAAACACAATGACACGGAAATCCAGAAGATTCAGACTCGTACTGCCAACACAAAAGGGCGGGTGTGATTTCCTCCGCAGATGGCCCAGCTGAAGTTGCGTCTTTGCCACAAACCTTGGGTAGCAGAAAGCAAACGGTGTGTTTTAGCCATGGTTCAAAAATGGTCTACGCAGCCACTTCCAGCTGTCGTCTTTCCTACTACTGTTGGCATTTCCTTTTGGGCTGAGTAAACCAGTATAATGATTCTCCTGTTTAATACATTGATGCACCGGGTTTTGGTTGGTTTTGTTTGTTTTTTTTCCTTTGATCAAAGTGGGAAATGGGGTTTTGTACCTAAAAGTTTGTGGCAGAAGCATGCTAAGAACAGGTTGAATGCATGTCGTGGAGATACTGTTGTGTCAATACAGAATTCAGCTGTATTTGTACAATTACAAATATCGCTATCTTTTGTCAAACCTGGCCCATATGGTAGCTGTGAGATGCATCGAGGTATGTTCAGTTATTTCTTGGACATTCCCAGTCCCTGCTTCTCTGTAGTAGCTTTCTCTATTCCCCCCCCCCTTTTCCAGTGAATGCTTATTAGCATAATGCTGCCTCAAATTTGCTATTGGCAAAACCAAAACTTGTTTCTACTTTCATCACAAATATGAAAAAAAAATTTTCATGGAAAATACCACAACTGCAGTGCAAATTCCTTTCTGGAAGGCATTATCTTATACCTAATGAGCTCGTAACTACTATTTTGTCTTTAAGAACTGACAAAACCCAACCAGTTACTACCTGGGTGGTGATTTACCTGCTTCTGCTTTTCATATCCATTATCTCAGCACTGAATTCCCACCTTCTAACTAAATTTCATTAGAGCATTAATATTTTCTGGCTAGAAAGGGAGAACTGGTATGAAGGCTCATGCTTTGCCTTCTCACAAAAGAGTTCAATGGGAGGAGAAAAAATTGGAAATGACAAGCCAGGTTCTGAGCCCAGCTTTTCTCATACAGGTCCCACAAGGCAAGAAAAATATGACATACAGAGTGTAGCGACTCTGCTTCCTCAGCTACTTCCCTTCAGAGCTGCATTCAGCAAGACACAGTCGAAGGAATCCCCGAGTTTCATTCCTCTAGTTTTACCATTCCATTCTTTTCTTAATGATGAACACATTTTTCTATTTCAATGAACAAACCAAACAGCATTCTTCCTTGTTACGAGCCCATTCCAGATGTCTTAGTGAAAGCTCTTACACGTTACGTTCTGCTAAATGCCTAAGACTAAAATCAGAAGAATATTAAAGCTCCCAAGCTAAGACCCATCACTTAATATTCAATGCCTATGGTGCAGCCGTCAAGCCAAACCTCCCTTTGTGCTCACAGAGACAGATGCACCTTAGGTGGGATTAATTTCAGCTCCAGTGGGTATCTAAAGCAGCTCGAACACAAGGTTTACCTTCTACGTCGTTAGGAAGATGTCTATAAATGAAGCAGTCAGTGCCTGCAAACAAATCCCAGTTTTGGCCTCTGCTGTCCAAGTCCACAAGGAGGACTGGAAAGGGCATCGCAGATCCAGTTTTAGGCAAACCGTAACATGAATTACTCTATTTCTCCAGTCTAACAGGACTCATAGCTGCACACTCAGAGCACAAGGAGGACTGGGAAGAGAACCTGTCCCACAGGAGAAACTCGTGGATATTTAAGTTTATTTCAAATAAGTGTTCAAAGAAAAAAAAAAACCCGAACTAAAACAGATTTAATATATATTTGCTTTTCTTAAAAAATGATTCCATGAAAGAGTTTTATAGTTATCTAAGTAGTAATACAGTTTTTTATATACAAAATTCCATTTCAAACAGTTTACTGTACAAAAGAAAGTATAAGCAACTGTTACTATTTCATGATTTCAGCAAATAATGAGAAATTCGGATAAGTATGTGTTCAGGATATAGGTCTACCATTTACAGGAATGTCAGTATTGAGTTGGGAATACTTTTGTATAAGTATTTACAGATGAAATTCCCTTCAAGGAAGTTCCCCTAAGATTTATCTTCAGAATAGGTAGTTCATGTCTGGCTTTCTTCTGGATCTTTTGAGCTACCAAGGAATGAGAGGAAGAACACTTTTTCAACAAGATGTATGGACAGAATTCTGCTTGATTTATTCCCTCTCTCAGTCCTATTGCAGTCAGCGGGCCTGATCTGGTAAATGCTTACTACCAGGCGTAATGCTTCCAGGGTGAATAAATCAGGCAGGATTTGGCCCTACAGTAGTAAGCTATCATTAGTTACAAATTTTAAAAATAGTGACATTCCTGCAAGTCAAAATACAACGGAAACAAGAGTTAACAAAATATAAGCCCTTTATTAATAAAAATCTTTGGTTGGATCAATATTTTAAATAAGCTTCAAGAATATTTGGTTAATACCATTTTCTTTCTTCCACATAATTTCTCTTCTTGTGCCTTCTCTGGACAGACTACAGAAAAATATCAAGTTTATCGCATACTTTAAAACAAATAAATATATCAAAAGCTAAATATGGCATTTTTTTAAAGTTCTAGCATTAATCTTTAAATTAGTTTGGCAAGGAAAAAAAGAAAAGGAAAAAAGAAACAACTAACTTCTCTTGAAAACAGTCTTTTGATGTTTGGTTTTGTAACAAACCATACAGTAGTTAGACTTTAAAGAAATCTCTTGTTTTTATTTTCTTCTTCAGTTTTATATTGGTAATGCAAGTGCCATGGACAAGACAAAGCGATAAAAGAAATGAGGTTAATTGCACCAATATTATTTGGAAGTGCAGTTTATTGTTTGACAAAGCAGAACTAAAATTCACTACGCTTAAAAGGAGTCGTACTGATGGGGTTTCGTAAGTAATTTAGTCTTATACTTTAAGGAATTTCCTTGTACAAAAGATAGCGTATTTTAAGACAAAAGAAAAGTCCTGTAACTAACTGAAGGTCTGGTCCTGTAGCCCCAGTGCAGACAAAGCTTCCATTGAGGACAGCAAGAGGGAAATGTTTTGGATTTACTCCTCCTCTGGGAAATGCCATTCAACAGCAGAAAGTCTGCGGGAGCAACTGGCTGGGAAAAACGGGTGCAGACTCCGTTCTCCTGCAGAGGACAGAGGGCTACAGAGAAAAAACCTGGCGGAGAAAGGGATGTGCCAAAACAACGGGGAAAAAGGGAATTTCCTCAGCAACAACAGTGTCTGAGTACTAGGCAGGGCAGTGTGAGTCACTGTAGCTCTACGTGTGCTCGTGAATTCAGGGCATTTAACAAAACGCTCTGTGATCATCTACCTGCCGGGTGGATCTCCGCAATTGTGCTGCTGCTGCCTGGCCGTGAGCGAGCACCCGCTGGGGGATGGCTCACACACAGCCGGCGCAGGCTGGGGCACTGAGGTAGCTTCATCCACATCAGTTGTTCATCGTTAAAAAAATAACTTTTCCAGATTCACTTTTCTGATGTTTCTGAAGAGAGCAGTGCCCCAGTGAAGGTCTCGGGTACACAGCAGGTTGCCACAAGTGCCCCACGCACCCATGTGACTCTACAGCGCGGCGGAAGCTCTGCTTGTTTCCGACCTGCGGGTTCAAACTCGGATGTCTGCCGGAAGAGCTGAACCCTGTCTTGAAAAGCAAGTCAGGCTGGTGGGCTTTACGTGGTTGCTCTCCTGCCAGAAGGAATACCAGGGCACACACTAAAGCTGATTTTGCACATACGTTATCTCGTTACCCCATGGACCTTCAAACCTGGGATTCCAAAAGTATTTTAAATTATTATTAGTAGTTTTATTATTGAAAATTTACCTTTATTTAGTTAATTAATAGGCTACGGTCAAATTCTCAAGAGAATATCTCTATCTAGATGTACTAAGTACCTGCATTTATTAATGCACACCAACAACAATAGTGTTACCTATCAATGAAATATAAAAATTCCCTGCATTACTGCTTGTGCAAAAGAAAAAAACAACATGATCAGAAATAGAATGTGGTCCTCCATATTTGTAAGAAGAGCATTTCTCACAAAGATGGGAGCAAAATGGCAGCACATCCTTCAACATGCACCCGGTTGTCCATTAATCGAGTCCTGCCCTTTACGCGATGGCTTGTGTATCAGCGGAATGCCCCGATGTACTAACTCCCTCCTCTTCTATACGTCAAGAGGATACGAATGGCAGGAGGACAAGCTCCCACTGTGGCTCCTGGAGAGTCTGGGGCTGTGATTGTTACAGTTTTCGCCTTTTTTCTTGTCCTTGTCTTTCCAGGTCTCTAGCATTTGCAGCTTCCCTTGCTCTTCTCTCATGAAGACCTCCACCATGAGAACTTTCTCTTTATGAATCTGCTGACTAATGTCCTTGGGAATGTCTGGGATAATCCAGTCAACAAAGTCACTCATAAACATGACCAAGTTCTGAAAACGAAATTGTGAGAAAATGTCAGCAGGGTCAAAGGAGAAGATGACTGTAGAGGAAGCGCCATTTCTGGTGTACTTAGGAAGGAAGAATGAAGAAAGGACAATATTTGGGTTGGGCTCAACGGCATGTCACAAGTCTGACACTAAGCCAAATCCACCTCAACTTCTTGTTCATGCTAGAAGCAGAGACAAATGGCGGGCACAGATCTCTATGACTGATGTACAAACACTGTCACAGCCACTTAGAAACCCAAAGGAAATACTGTCATTGATAAATGCCTTCTGAGTTTGACATCAAAAGACAGAAGCAAATAACAAGCAGTAAAATGATGAAAGTTGGTAAAATACATTCCAATGAAATGTTTCCGATTTAAAAAACCTTGATTCAATGAAAATGCGGTCTTTCACAAAGATAAATACTTTGTCCAAAAAAAAAAAAGAAGGAATAAAATTTTTGAAACAAGTTTTTTAGATAAGACAGACTTAAAACACTTGTGTCACAATAACCAGCATCACTGTTGTGATAGAATAATGTCATTTAGTGAAAAATTATAAGATTTTGCCTTCTTGTTCAGATGCAAATGAATAACTAGGAAAATTTTGGAAATTTCATTTCTTGGCTAGGTCTAGAAATGATTTTGGATTAAATTTATGCTGTTTCAGTGAATTTGTTGATGTCCTACTGGAGAAATTGGTGGGACCTAATTAGTATCAGCCTTGTGCTTTGCTGCTCACTAAGGTTATTAAGTTGCTTCTGCATCGGACCAGTTCAGGGAATCCCTGGAGATGAATTTTTCCACTGGAGATATACCTGGGCTTGGGTGGGTGGGAGGAAGAAGGTGAATGAGGATGATGGGCAAATTTCTTTGCTTTTCCATGAAACAGCTGAGAAAGAGGATTATTTTCTTTGGTCTAGTACCTTATTTCCAAAGGTGGCTTGCCTTATGTAGCTGAAGAAATACGGTAACTCCTTTTCTTTCTCATATAAGAAGCGCCTGCAATATAACATACCTGGAAAACTATCACAAAGGCTAATCTTGCTGCAAGGACAGCCCAGAAATCCTTTGAAATGTCATACTTGTTTTCGGACCAAGGGGGTTCTCGATAATCTTTGTATCTGCAAAACAAAACTCAGTAAATCACTGATGTCATTCAGAAATTTTAGCACCATGAGGAATTCATGCCAAACAGTCAAACAGTAAATCAAACCGTCTAAAAGCAACTTCACTATTACGGCATGATGCCATATGAACCTCTCAGAAGCAAGACACAGCTGGAAGCTTTCCACAGCCTTCTAGTTTTACTCAAAATTAAAGGTCTTCAATCTTAACACCCTCTGATTAGGACAAATAATATCGATTCTACATAAAGACAGAGTAAACTACACAGTTCAGATAATTTATTTGCTTTTAAGATTGGTAAAAAAACCCCACCATATATTTTTCAGACTAATTTTAAAGACAAAAATACCGATCTCAGATCCATAGAGTGGGTTATGCTACGTGGTGTTCTTGCTCATGATTAGCGAGAGGTCGCAGCTAAATTTTGCTGTATAGAGAGAAGGTGAGAATTTTGCCTTAGCTATGGCTTACGGGAAATCTACAAGCTAATCCACAATAACTTGTCAGAAAGAAGACAAAGACAAAATACATTAAGTTTCAAACTACAGCATCCTGTCTATATGTTGAAAGAATTAGGGTTCCATATTTTCCAATGATTTAAAAATCCCTGGAACATGGAAGAAATGATGGGATGGGAAGAAGAAAGAGGCTGTGACTCGAAAGCAAATAAACCTGGCATTTTTGTATTGGACCATGACACGTAACACTTCCGTTCTCCACGTTCTGTGCTAAAACCATGTTTGCCACCCTCATTTATCCTGTGCCCAAAGCTCACCAGAAGGAAACCGGGAGAAAGTAAAAGCAAGCCAAGCTAATACATATGCAGTTTTGATTGTTTTTTTCTTTCATCTCAGAGTGATTTTTCTGTTTAGCAGTCATTTCAGCAGATCAACTTGCACTATTCACATTTGTAAAGAATATAAATTAAAAACCAACACAATTATAAAGGTGGTCTCTCTTCCTGGTCAGTTTGTGTAATTTTTAGTGTATGTATACCAAAGTCATCTTTCGTTTTATCCTCCCCTGGAATGTTGCTTTCTTGCTGGTTCTCCTCTTCCCCTTCTTTCCCCCATTGCCCCCCTTTCAGTTTTGCTGTTCTAAGTGCTTTCACTGTTTTATTTGGCTTCAGTCCCCAATTCTAAGCATTAAAACATTTGTTTTGAAGATGATGGATATCTAAGGAAGCCTAGGCAAAGCATGCAGTTCAGCACTGACCTAGATTGCTTCATAAGCTGAAATATGCAACAACCATTTTCCTTTAAAAATGAAAATAATATGTAGGAATTGTTCCAGGCATGCAGATTTCCTGCAGGATGACACTTTGAGTGGGTCTTAAGTTCCGGTGCAGATACGGATGCTATTACTCGCATCAGGAATTGCTACCGAAACTGGACAAGGAGGAGAGGTGTACTGTGAAGCCATGGTCGTTGTATCAGTAGCATGTGATACAACACCATGACATCGAAGCAACATCGTTTTGTTCCCTCAAAGCATCATTGTGCTGTTTATCTTTATTTATCTCCTTTCCTGAGAAAAGGGAACAGATAAGAACAAAAATCTTTGCATGAACACTGAACTTAACAGCGCTAATCTCAGTTTCCCAGAATAAGGAGTACTTCACATTCAGGTGTTGGGGTTGCTTAATAAGTAAGCCAAAACGTTCAAAGCAATGGATACAAAAGGCTATCAAGGTGTTTCAAAAGTACTGAAAATCCAGGGGAATGTAAAAATTTGTCCCATTCTTAGTCAGCTGTGAAAATACTTAAAGTTAGTTATCACTCAAGAGAGTACCTGCATATCTGAACCTCGTAGCCGAGATCCATGGGGTCGTTGGGAGCTGTTCCTGCTTGAAAATCGCTGACATTAAAAGAGGATAGTGTATGGTTCACGAAGCCATGCATGGTGCCATTCTCACTGTACATATACAGGTACACGAGGCGTGGAATGAAGTCGGATGTGAATGAGATCACAAATGCCTAAGCCATAAGAGTCAAGAGTGAGCGCAATATTCAGGCAGTGGTGAAGTCAATAACATACTCGAGTACGTCTTGCCCAAACAACTCGCGCAACGCAGGGACTGCTTCAGAAAACAAGGGGGGAGACGGCAGCCCACGGGGCCCTAAAAATGGAGTATTCGCTGCTGCAACAAGGTAGTAGCTACTGCTCACTCTCCCGAGTTGCAGGATATTAGATGGCGTGGTTCCACACCGATAGAGATTTCTATGTGGATAACAACTTGAAGTCCCCCGAGAATGAAGCGGCCGTAACCCCCAGCACCAGAGGAAAGCAAAACACGGCGCTGCTGCCCCGTCCCCCCGTCACAGCTTGGCTCTGATGCATTGTATAAGGTCCAGCCGATGGATTTCCAAGCACTTTGCTGTTCTGCAAACAACTGACAGGGAACTGACTCTTTAAATTCTCATTACATTGCAAAAGGCCATTAAGTGTATGTGTTTTTTAGCTCCATCAAGATAAAAGGATGAGCAGACTGAGCCCAGTTTTATCTTTATGGTCACAAAAAATGCGTTTTGTTTGGTTATTTAAAAAGGTTTTCTAATAATGTCATTCAGAAAATGCAAGACAGCCAGTTCAGCTGAGTTCTTCCTAACTTTAGCCTTTCTCATTTATCATTATTGTGAAACATTCTCACTGGCATAAATCTCATGTACATGTGGAACAAACACAGTACAAAATGTTTTACTTATTTTATGATAAAGAGGGGTAGTACATAGATCAAAGAGGGGAAAAATAACACTGGATAATGACGAACAGAGACTACATGGAAGAAAAGAGAAAAAAATAGAGAAATTATTTCCAAAGGAAAAGAGGACAAATGATAACGATAAATTAAGGCAGCATATCGAATAACCAAAAGAATGGTTTGGTCATAGCACAACAGACACCTGTGGGCAAAGCGAAGGGACTTCCAGTCTGGGTAATGGTGAAAAAACCGAGAGGGCCCATGGACACATGGCCGTTAGCCCTACACGGCCGCTATTTTGCTGCATTGCAAACATGCTTTCAGCTTTTTATTTCATCTTTCCCCAGGTGGGGTGCAATGAAAATGATCGGTGTGGATGTCTGTTCATATAGAATATTAGATAAATATATAAATGAATATATTAAGGTGTGCTAAAATTTTCTAAGGGCTGGGATGTTCAATGTTCAAGTAAATAAAAACATTTTCATGGATTTTCAGAGCCGAGTGACAGCAGCTCAGTTCGAGGCCAGCTTTTCAACGGAGGGACGCTGTGTTCAGATGAGCCGAACTAATTCACACCCCGCTGACGACCTGACCCTAAATGGATTTTATCATTGGAATTAACAAATACATCACCTTCGTGATAGTATTTCAAAAGAGCAAAAGCAAGCAGCTGTGCTCTTATTTGTTTGAAGGGCAAAACTGTTTTATGAAAACTTTCTGGAAAAAAGCTGCAACGACTACCTACTATTTTATATTATTGCTACTACTATCACAACTTTAAAATAAAGACTGCATCCAATTCTCTAGTATTTCAGAACATTTCTAAATCATATACTTTCACTTGATTTTAAGGGATTTATACTGAAATAAAACTAATGGAGCAGAATGGAAAAGCCAGCCTACTGAATTCAAATTTTATTCATGCCGATTACTTACATTTATTATGACAGCAAGCTTTCCAATACCTCTGAGGATATTATACCAGATTCCTAAGGGAGGAGACAAACATGTAAATGCTGTGCCAGTCATTAAAATTAGATAAATTATATATTTTTATTTAACAGTGTTAGGAGTACTTATGACTGTGCCAAATTGGAGTTATATTTTAAATAAAAAAAGAACAAATTATAAGAGATTAATTTAATGAAGTTTAAGCGAAGGAAGCCCAACTCTGTCTTCCAGAGCTATGTTTGGGCATCTATTTTTTTGAGGTTTTAATCTAAAAGCTTCTTTGAGGCACAGGAGCGCAAATGTGAGACAGCAGAATGCCGGCATAGACAGAAAAGAAAAACATCATGAAATTTCATTCAAACTTCTCAAATGCTTGAGGAGAAAAAAAGAAAGCTACAGATAGGGAGCTGGAACCTCCACACACGTGCTGCAGAACATACTCATCTACTGGTTTTAAGGATCCAAATGTGTTTCTACAGCTTTTCATCACAACTTTTCCTACCTCAGTTTTGAGAAAGCAAAGCTCCAGTGGAGCCACTCGAATGGATTTTTCCATCTGCACCTGGAAACCACATAGATACGGGTTTCCTCAGCATGGGCTCTGTGCATTCAAAATGTAACACCAGCCAGCTCCACGCTGACTCAGGTTCAGCCCCTCTGGGTTTAGTCTGAGGATGATGCATGAAGTCCCACAGCTCTGCCTCTTCCCTGTCTCCAGATCCCATTCCTCATGGAAGGGCTTCTCTGAAGTCTATGTAAAGTGCTGGTTTAGCGTACGTGGCTGTGCACCCTCGTGCCTGGCCTCTCTAACAGTCTCCTGGGCATTAGTGACAGCTTGGACATTTCTCCTTAGTTGAAATACTCAAACTGCAAGATTCTGAACATGAGGAAGAACTTCTTCCCTCTGAGGGTGACAGAGCACTGGAACAGGCTGCCCAGGGAGGTTGTGGAGTCTCCTTCTCTGGAGATCTTCAAGAACTGCCTGGACAAGGTCCTGTGCAGCCTGCTGTAGGTGACCCTGCTTCGATAGGAGGGTTGGACTAGATGACCCACAGAGGTCCCTTCCAAACCCTAACATTCTGTTTATTCTGTGATGGAAAAATGCCGGGCTGCTACCAGATCTCAGTGGTTTCAGCCCTGATGAGCCACTGTCCTGTTCTGGGTCTGCAGAGGAAGGAAGATGTAGGAGGCTTTACGCACGGTGACATCCCTGGAAGACTCCTCCAGCCTGGCTGAAGCCTTTGCTTGGTAACTAACTCATACTTCATGTAGCTTTGGTCTGCTGGTACAGCATACACAAGCCAGCCTGGACAGAGTACAGAACTGAACTTCAGAAACAGATATTACAGTAGCAGTGGAAGCAGAGATAGACCTCTTCTTGCTACCAGTGGTTGTCCACTGTCTTTAGCAGGTGGGACCTTCTGCCTTCCCTGATTCTGCTGATGCTGGCCCTAAAAACTTGTCCGGTTTGTCTCTGGCTATTCCGCAGTCTCTGACTGTGGGATGTCTCTGAAAGAAGTGAGGTCCTTTCACCCACAAGAGAGGGACTGCAATAAATTGCAACTAACACCCTCTCAAAAACACAACCAAAAACCCAAAAACACAACCAAAAAACCAAAAACACCCCCCTTAACATCTCCACCAGCAACCTCAGCCCGCAGCATCAAATGAGCCAGCCACAAAACACCCCAAAAGCGGTGCTGTGGTAAAGGCAATAGCATGACAAACCACGATGTGTTCTTCAACTCTAGGATGATCCTAGGGCACAAGGATGAGCCCAAGGAAAAACCCTGCTTCCACAATACCAGAATGAACACTGAGCTTGGGAACAGATCATGAACTTCTCTGCTCTTGCCGACTGCCTCTGTAATATGAATAATTATTTTATTGACCTCTTTACTTGTACGTAACCAACATTTGGGAGAAATAGCTTCCTCATTACCTACACCTGTAGCTGTTAGCCCCCCACGGTAAGGGGAGGATGGGTCTGTTGTCACCGTACCACCGCAGAGCCCAGTTCCAGCTGGATTCCCTGCAACTTCCAAGCTTCACCCTTCCATCAGTCATGCTGCGTAGGGACTAAGGGATACATTTACCCATAGACTTCTGAGTCTCCCCTCATTGCTAAGCGTCTTTCTCCAGCCCAGTCCAGAGTAATTAAATGCAGAAATTTTTGCATCTACATGAAAACTGCATTGCCAGGAAGAACTGTGGATGTGCAGAACCATGCAAAATATTTCCCTATTTTATTGATCATTTTGATTTGAAAAGTGATATTGTTTACTTAATAAAATATTAACCTGAATTTAAAACTCTGGTCTTTCTATTTTAAATTTAAAGCCTCAATAAGTTATGACAATTCACAGTTAAGATACAGTCTATTGTTTTGAATTTTCCTATAAACATCTTCCTGTTAATGAAACTAACTCAGCATAATATATCCTGCCATCAACCGAAGAATAAACAAACAGGGATAACAACAGCAGTGAGCACTTACCTATATCCTTTGCTCTGACTGCCACAGGTCTCCTCAGCTCAGTGACAAATTTTTTTGCATCTAGACGGATTTCAATGATGTTGTTCAACAAAGCAAACAAAGGCGCCAGCGGGAAGGATGCAACGAACAAAGTTACGAACCCAAACTGAATGACTGCAAAAGAAAAAGCAACCATTTCAATGGCTGTGCTCAGAATTTGTCAAATGCACGCATCATCTTGTTGGCGTCATCCCCTCAAATTCTAGCAAGATGACACTCGCTGGGAGACTAAACCACATTTTCTGCACCGGGCACGGTTAGCCTGCCTGCCGCTCCATTCGGGCTTTGGAGGGCCAGCTGGCCTTCTTGCAAAAGCCAGGGCTGCTGAGGCAAGGCAAAGTAACCAGAAGGATGGGGAAGCTCCTAAAACAATTTTGCTGTGGGCGAGGCTGGCAAAGGGTGAGCTGAAGGAGTGGGATTACAGCAGCAACTGTGTTGGCTCTACAGAAAGTTGCCATGCTCCTACCAGTAGGTTTTTAGCCCTCACTAATCCCACTGGAAGCTTTCTCTTCTGAAGAATAGAAATTTCTGGGCTTTGAAAAGGACATGACTAATTCTCCACCTTTACTGGGAACAACTTGCTTCCTACAGCCTGGGATCATATTTGTTTTTCTTTGATGAGGAGATCACATTGATGTCATACTCATCCTGGTACTCTTAGAGCCCCATCTTTCTCTTCCTCTGTTAATTCCAAATGCTGATCTCACTAACTGCATATTTTCTTATTTTTAGGAACCTACAGCATGACCTTGTAGCTTGCACCATCAAATTTCAATTTTTTTTTACTATTCTGAACATCAAGGTCATCAGATAAGCTAATTCACCTCTGCATTTACTGGGCACACCAGTTTTTGGTATTAGTATACTTCGTTATCCTTTACCACTATTGTTGCCTAGTCATTCCTGAAAATACTAAATGAGACTGCTCTTTTAAGACAGATCTTTCAGGAAAGTCTGATACTGTAGTGAACAACTTTATGTTGAACAGTTCTCAGCCTTTTGACGATTGAAAGTAGGAAAAGAACTGTAGCTGTACAATTGCAGCAATGTAGAGCTGATATCCAGTGCTTAATTTCCATATCACCCACTCAACATAATACATTACTTGAAAAAAAATTGTATGTGATCTGTCAAGTACAACCTGGCCTACAGGCACATATCTCTGTCGGAAGATTTAGTCCAGATTTCAGAAAACAGAAACAGTCTGGTGTGAGAATACACAGTGGAAATTGTCAAATCTGAATCAAGTAACTTATTTCCAGTAGGGTGCAACTGATGACAAAAGGTGCCTCACAATCTGAAGTTTATGCTATTTAATCATTTGCCTTTGAAACCTGACAGTGACACGTCACATAGCTTGAAAGAAAATCTCTAAAATACAGTGCTAAAGTAAGGGCTCACGAACAGTGGAGAGCACAGTTCATCGCTGAAGCAGCCAGTGGTTGGCTGAGGCATGCCACAGTCCAAGACTACACACTTTAATTATTAAATTGCGCCTCAGATCCACTGTCCGCCGAATCTACAGTTCAAGAACCTCAGCTCTCCATCCCATTTACTCAGAATAATCATGGTTTAAAATGCCTTCTTTCCTCCTCACTCACTCATTTCCATATATTCAGGGGTCAGTCCAGCGAAAGGCTCCAGGTTATAGTCCACTTCGTAACGCTGCTTTTTTTTCACGTGCTCTTCATGGTCTAAAGAACGCCGACGCTTTAGTTTCATGTATCGTATAAATTTCTTCATTTTTCTGGGGGAAATGAAAATGATGCCGTTAGCATGCCACTCTGGTCACAGTGCCCATTTTTCCGTTATTTCACAGTAACAGACACAGTAAGCTCCATACTTATTTTCATAAAACCTGTGCAAGGGCCCCAATATGCTGAAAGTACCGGGGATCAGCACACACAGGCACTGAAACATGGTTCTAATGGAATCCTATGGTCAGTATTACACCTCCTGCTAATCAGTAGGAAAGCAGCAGATTGCCTAACACTTTTCTAAGCCATCTGCATCGCCGGATGCAGTTGCAGCGAGGATGGGGTATCTGCAACCCAGCAGACATGGGCTTACTGCAAAGATCTTGCAGGCAGCCTACGAACCACGTTCACGCCAAGGGGCAGTGGACACATGGCGTATCGCAGGCATCGTAAAAACCACTTGTTTGAAAAAAACCCCCAAAAGTCGCTACTTACGGGATGCCAATCTCAAATAAATTGTTCTGAATCAGCTGCTTGCCCAACATGATAATACTGAGCTGGATACACAACTCCATCAGGCAGCCACCTGGAGCACACTAGGGAGGACAGAGGAAATGGCAGTCAGAACACCTGCGGCACCCCTGTGGCAGGGGCAGACGGTGCTCCCACCCAGCGGCGACGCAGACGGGGTGAAAAGGCAATTACCTCCTCCATTCGGAAAGAATGGAAAATGTAGACGTAGTCTCCTGGACGTCCAACAAATCTAGGGCACAATGGTCAGAATTATAAACGTCATTATGTATTTTATACTTTGTATATCTGATTCCTAAAGTCACTCTATGCCTTTGAGTGGAACCACCTAATGTTTAGTCCTGAAAAAGTGAATGAGCATAATTATCTTTGGTTTTGTTTTAAAGAGTAAGTCTTGTTTACTGAGTAAACAACTCAGGAAAACTGCAAGTTGCGTGTCCCACAATATTCTAGGCACATCTTGTCAGAAATCCTCTCAGGTAATCCTCATTTCTGTTGCGTTAGCTGGAATGTGCCACATGGAGTATTTATTTTAGCCTTCTGCTTTCACGCTGATTGCAAGAAGAGAGATGATACTTGCTACGATATAAAGTTAAGAGTGGCAAATAGACAGCAGTAAATAGCCTGATTGGGGATTGTATCTGAAAGTACGAAGTTGTCTTAACAAAATGGCTTTAACAAATTTGAAACAGCAGACTACCAGGTCCCTGCTTTATCCCATGAGGCTGCAGAGTTTTGGGGTCAATACTGAGGAGTTTTTAAACTAGATTTACTTTATCGCCCAACTACGGTCTTAGCTCAGCTACAGCTGTCTCATAAGCAACAAGCTGAAACCCTGAACAGCCCTTTGCATTACTCACCGGCCTTTGAAGAAAGCGACATAGAAAATGGGTGTGTAGGCATTCACAAATTTCAGCAGAAAAGCCTTAAAAATGAGCCGCTCTTCGAAATTCTTGTCAGTTTTTGGCACCTCTGGAACCAATGTGACATGGATAAGAAATGTTAAGGAATTATCCTACCGCAGCATTTCAAGATCTTAAAAATGTGGACTTTGGAAAACATCAGCCAGCTTTTAAAGAAAGAGGTATATATTTATAGCAAAATATATATTTATATATTAAAGCAATATGGCCTCACTGAGGTCAGTGGTCAGTCTGCTGAGGATCCCACCGTTCTGATGTGTTACAACAGTGATCCCAATTTCATTCCACATCTGGCTGACCTCCATGACAATCACTTGCAGAGGGACAAGAACTTATTGGCAAAGATTTCTGAACCTTTTGTCACTGATGCTTTACGGAAATGTTTAAACCAAGTTTTTTCTAAAGTGTTTTTTCACACTCACGATTTTGTATTTCTCGACATGTCTTACACCAAATGAAAAAAGGCAGAAAATGAAAATAGTAATTGAGTGATATAGAAGAGTGAAGTTCAAGATTAGGTACAGGAATTTCTGCTGTATCCCATATCCCTGTTGCTCATGACTGGATTAGTGATTAGTACTACCACTGCTGAATGAAAAACTTTAAGAATAAAGGTGAATCCATGTGCGCTTTGATATTTTTAAGTAGCTGGTTAGACCTTTAGCCGCACATTTGAATTTCCTGGGCTTGCTCACCACTTTGAAGTCAATCACGAAAGCCAGTTGTTCGGGTCCGCTCATTTCATATCGCTCTAGCAAATACCAGCTGAGGCTTTAAACCTACCGATCTGAGTTAGCCACCTTGCGATGCAGCCGTATACTTCATCCAGGATGATGATGACGACCAAATTGATGATGACTGCAGTGGCAGTGACGGTGACCCTCACGCTCGACCGGCCTGAGGGCGTTGAACTGATTGCCAGCGCCGCTGCAGTCGAGATCCTGTATATGATGACTCCAAACACTATAGCGAACGTCAGCCCAACCTGTAAGTAAGAAAAGCACAGCCTCTTATGACGGATTTAACTACAAATACTTTGCGTGGGACTTAGCAATGATCTTAATGGGATCTCTGGGCCACATCTCAAGTCCACCAAACTCTGCCTTAAAGCTCCCAATC